AACGGAGAATAGGACTAGTCAAGAACAAGGAGGCTTTAAGAAAGCGTAGGGGGTGTGTGACAAGGTGTTACAGTGACACCTATAAGTGAACACTCTCAATTAGATACGGCTAAAGACGAGTTCTTTGGGTACATAGTGGATTTATGGATAGAAAAGGCGTATGACAATGGTGGATCTAGGGGGGCCCATGTGGCAGATAGTGCAAGTGTATGGAGTGTAGGAGGTAGGTTACTGAAAGCACGTGAAGAGTTTTACGAGGATAGTTGAGCTTCAAGTTAGAGTATGTAGGAAAAGAGGAAATTTTTTCCCAGTAAAAGTAGGGCCTTAGACTGGGATGTGTGATTTCACCTTGGTTGTTTAATATATATTAATAGATGGGGGTTGTAAGAGACGTAAATGGCGAGGGTCTGGCAAGAGGACCGTGGATTAAAAGATAAAGAATCACACAACAAAGTGGGAGTTGTCACAGCTGCTCTTTGCTGATGACACTGTGCTCTTGGGAGATATTCTAAAGAGATTGCAGAGAGATTGGTGGAATGAAATTGGTAGGTTGTGCAAAAGAAGAAAATTAAAGTGAATACAGGAAAGAGTAAGGTTATGAGGATACCAAAAAGATTAGGTGATGAAAGATTGAATATCAGATGGAGGGAGAGAGAGTACAGGAGAGGTGAACGTATTCTAGATATTTGGGGAGTGGACGTGTCATGGCACAATGATAGGGTCTATGAAAGATGAGGTTGAATCATTAGAATTCTGATTAGAGGAAAAAGAGTGAGTGGTGCACTTAGGAGTCTGTGAGAGAACAAAGAACTTTGTCCTTTTGGAGCAAGAGGTGAATGTATGAGAGGTAATAGAGTTTACATACGCTTCTTTATATGGGTGTGAAGCGTGGGTGAGAAAATGTTGCAGTGCGAGGAGAAGCTGGAGGCAGTGGAGATTGCTAGTCATGTCTAGGGCAATGTGAGTGGTGAATATAATGCAGAGAATTCGTAGTTTGGAGTTGGGAGGAGGTGCTGGATTACCAAAACTGTTTGTCCAAGCGGGCTGAGTAAGGGTTGTTGAGGTGGTACCGGACATGTAGCAAAGAATGGACCGAAACAGACAAGCTTCAATAGATGTATCAGTCTGTAGTGAAGAAGGCGGGGTAACGGTGTCGGCCTAGGAAGGGTTGGAGGAGGAGAGTGCGGTAAAGGAGTTTTGTGTGCGAGGGCTTGACTTCCAGCAGGCATGCGTGAGCGTGTATGATAGGAGTGAATGGAGACAAATGGTTTTTAATACTTGACGTGCTGTTGGAGTGTGAGCAAAGTAACATTTATGAAGGGATTCAGGGAAACCGGCAGGCCGGACTTGAGTCCTGGAGATGGGAAGTACAGTGCCTGCACTCTGAAGGAGGGGTGTTAATGTTGCAGTTTAAAAACTGTAGTGTAAAGCACCCTTCTGGCAAGACAGTGATGGAGTGAATGAGGGTGAAAGTTTTTCTTTTTCGGGCCACCCTGCCTTGGTGGGAATCGGCCGGTGTGATAATAAAAAAAAATAAAAATATATATATATATATATATATATATATATATATATATATATATATATATATATATATATACATACATACATACATACATACATACATACACACACCCTTCTGGCAAGACAGTGATGGAGTGAATGATGGTGAAAGTTTTTCTTTTTCGGGCCACCCTGCCTTGGTGGGAATCGGCCAGTGTGATAATAAAAAAAAAACATACATACATACATACATTCAACCTTACTGTCCTCTTCCTTCGCCATTCTCCCTCCATCTTCCTCCCCCCTCTCTGTCACCCTGCACTCTTTCCATCTATCTACCTTCTCTCTCTCTCTCCCTTTTTCACTAATCTCCTTTCACTCTCTCCCTCCTTCACTCTCTTTCTCTCACCCTCTTCCTGCATTTCCTTTTTCACTAACCCTCTTTGTCCGTCTCTCTCTCCCTTCACTGTTCCCACTTCTCTCCCTCCTGTTGTTGGGCTGTGTAAGTGCCAATTTGCCAGTTTTATTATAAAAAATTGGGACCTAACTTCCCCTTTTGGAACTGGAAAATTTTTGTATCAAGCATAAACATTAACATGACATCAAATGGGCACCATATTACATGACATCAAATGGGCACCATATTACACGACATATTAACACGACATCAAATTGCACCATATTACATGACATATTAACACAACATCAAATTGCACCATATTACACGACATATTAACGCTATATCAAATGGGTACCATGTTCTTTTTAGCCGTTAAGAAGAAATTAATTTTTGTTTTACACCTAGTAACAAAATCAGCAAATTAATGATTGCATTCTTAAGATGGTTGTCAATTTAAAGTTTTTAGTCATTAGATGAGCAGTTCCATATTTTTGGGCCATACTTCAACCTCTTATCATATTAATAATGTTAGGTAAAAAGATACATGTGCAACTAATGAAACATTTTATAAAAATGATAATAATATTTATTTCTGCAAGTACGTGATACAGTTTATATAGACCTAGCCGACATCAGTGACATTCTGCATAGAAAGCCCCTGGTTATGCAGAGTATTTCAGGCAACTTAGGTTAATTTTGTTCCCCTGGATGTGATCCACTCCAGGTGGCTAACACCCCAGTTCCTACTTGTTGCTGGGTGAACAGGGACAGCAGGTGTTTCCACCCATACCAGGGATTGAACCATAAATAATCAATGTGTGAGCTAAGTGCGCTACCAACCGAGCATTAGTTACACATATCCTTTTACCTAACATATTGTCAGTAATTCTACTGTCATTATTACAAATTACTGTAATGTGTAAGCCCCTCACCACATGCATTGAATGAACATGTACTGTATTAAAAAATAAATGTTAAATGTTGCTTTGCATAAAATTTAGCCTTGTTAAAAAAAAAAATCCGTCTGGAGAGAAAATAGGAGTTATAATTCGAATTCCATTATTGGAAGGCCTTGCATAGAGAGCTCTCATGGTACTAATTGATCATGCAGTGTTTTTGACACACTTACTTTACTTGCTAGACTTTGCAGTCATATTCAGGACTGCATTGCTAATTATAAATATGCAGATTTGATAAATAAGCAGATTTGAGATTGTTTTCAGATGCGACTTAAAAGTTTCATCTGCATACATTTTTCTATATATACATTCCTTTTGTAGAATGTAAAAATGTACATATACAAAAAAAAATGTATTTTGAGAAAAATGCATGCAGATGAAACTTGTAAGTCTCATCTGAAAACAGTCTCAAATCTGCTTATTTTGACTTCAGTTTCCTTTAATTTATGTAATGTAGTTTACATGTAATGAGACATCGGTAGGCACAAAAGAAAGCCACTAATTACAGTATACAGTGCATTTCAGGCAAACTAATCCTAGTGTTTAAAATGTTATTTAAGATCCAGACACAGACTATTAAGTAGGACTTCTTAGGCCTCTTAACTACAATCATAAGTACGATAAGAAAGGTAGCTAATGAACAAATGGTCAATTACAAAAGTATTACGTATTTCAAACTAATTCAGTGATCTTCAGTTTTGTGGAGTGATTAAATAGAGATGATTAAGATACAACAAGTTACTTACGTGAAGGCTTACTCAGCCCTGTAACAACTTCAGACAGTATTACCCAGGCTGGCTCCTTCTCAGGAAAATTAGTGAATAGAAAAAGAAATAATAACAGACAAACATAAACACTTTATTATGTAGAAAATATAAAATGTAAAACACTTAAATATGAAATATTAATCCTACATTAAAGAAAATGAAAAATGAAAAATATAAATGATAACTGAATTCAACGCTAATTTAAAACTTGGGTGTCTGGTGTTGGTGACACTGCTTGTTCAAATCGTAGCCGTTGCTGATGTGGGGTGGGGGGTCGCAGGTGTTGGTGACCACCACTGGCTAGTTCTTCACAGAGAATCGCCGTGATTATTATCCCGATGACAGGAAAGCAGGTTCTTTACCGCTGCAATGATGTGGGGTTACGTCCTGCAATTTCATACAGGTAGTTCAATACAAAATGGGACGTCTCCAGGACGTTAGTCCGTCTCCTGTTCTTCTCGTTGATTGACAGGTGACTCTCACTGTCATCCAAGCTGAAAAGATAGACAGGTTACCCACTGCTTAAATAATCACTCTCCATGGCAGTGTACATTACTCAAAAGACGTGGTGATTATTACAACAGTCAACCTAGAGCAAGACTGAAAGGACTAAGTTTATTATTGGTCAAAAGTGAAGCTTTTAACCAATAAATCCACTAGAATACAAGGCAGGCATGTACTTACAGTAGTGTTGGGAGCTGCGAGTCGAGTGATTTACTGTTTGACCAGAGCCCCATACGTCACCTTTTGAGGGGGGGGAAGAGGGAGGGGAAGGGATAGCGGGAGCTAGACTGACCCTACGTTAACAAGCAGCCGGCAATCAAACTATCACTTTAGGGGTGGGGGAGAAAAGGCGGGAAAAACGGGAGCGTGACTCACCCTACCTTAACTAGTAGCCGGCAATGAAACTATCACTTTTGGGGAGGGGGAAGAAAGGCGGGAGCGTGACTCACCCTACCTTAAGTAGTAGCCGGTAATGAAACTATTGTTACTATATTGCTACTCCTATCTATTGAACTTTTCCCTCACAACTTAGTTACATAGAAATATGATGGACCTTCCATACCTTTGCACCCCTCTGTGAAACACACAACTAGATTATTAAATTCTGTTAAAACTGAAGCAACATTCCCATTTTCAAAAATCATAAGAGTCACAAATTTTTCTGTGTACCACACATTGTTTATTACAGTATTACAATACTTTATTTAGTTTTTGTTTCAAAATATTTTAGTTTTGTAGCATAAAGCATTTAATCTTCTGATGCTTCTATACCATGCTTGCAAATTATCATGTTATGTCAAAATGTCCATACTAATTATTATTTAATTTTTAGGTGGTTGATGATTATTATTTTCTTGTATCTTCAGCCTTCTAGTAGTGGGAGAACAGCAGAACTACTTGGTGGGGCAACAGGCTTTGTTGGATTCAGTGCTTTGCAAGACTTGGGTTATGTGCCTGCAGCCTCACAAGCAGCTCAAGCTGATGATAGTGCTATTTCTGCTGAATTTAGAGTTGCTCTACGTAAAATGACCAAAAAGGATTCTACAACAAAAATTAAGGTTGGCTTGAAAATCTGTGTAATTTGTTTATTCTAATGAAGTACATAGTTAATAAATAGAGATAAAGATGAATTTAATTCTGATTTTAAGAATGTTCAAGAGTAGTCATGAACCATTGTTGGAACATTATCATTAACCACTGTATTCCTCTCTAGACTGCTATGTTAGCAAACCTTCAAATTAACATCCCAATTTTAAAATTGCTGGATAGATCTTTTGAACTGCTGTAGTTGGCATTCTGTTTTGTGGAAATTCCATAAATGTATTTACCAATACAGTGGAAGCTTGACTTAGGAGTTTAATCCATTCCAGGAGCTAGCTAGTAACTCAATTTACTCATATATCAAATTAATTTTCCTCATTTAAATTAATTGAAAAGCCATTAATTCGTTCCTGCTGTCTGGAGAGACGAGAAAAAATACTTGAATATGACGCTATTATCAATTGTACGGCTTATTTATCTATCACAATTCATCTAGTATGACATAATAAACAATATAATTAGCACAGAAACATGATATATACTCTAGAATGAATAAAGCGTCAGCCATTTGTCACAATTTGACCGTAGTATCTTCCCATGTTCTTACTGTAAGAGAAAACGGAGTATTTTTGAGGCTAACTGCAGTAGATCACTAGGACCCATGGTTAGAAAAAAGAAATTTCACCAAATGACTGTCAAAAAAATGCAAACAAGCACGAGAGAACTGCCCCCACAGGGATGTAAACATGTTTACTGCTTACCAGCTGTGCCAACTAGCAGAAGCAATCTGAATTATTACGTGGTGGCCTGGTGGCTAACGCTCTCGCTTCACACGGCGAGGGTCTGGGTTCGATTCCCAGCCAGAGTAGAAACATTGGGCGTGTTTCTTTCCACCTGTTGTCTATGTTCCCCATCAGTAAAGTGGGTACCTAGGTGTTAGTCGACTGGTGTGGGTCGCATCCTGGGACACTGACCTAATTTGCCCAACATGCAGACCATAACAGGGGGCTTTCTATATACAGTGGACCCCCGGTTCACGATACTAATCCGTTCCTGAGAGCTCATCGTAAACCAAAAATATCGGAAAGCGAATCAATTTTCCCCATAAGAAATAATGGAAATCAAATTAATTCGTGCAAGGCACCCAAAAGTATGAAAAAAAAAAACTTTTACCACATGAAATATTAAGTTTAATGCAATAGAATAGTAATTACAATAACAACAATAACAATAAATAACGAAAGAATAATTGACACTTACCTTTAATGAAGATCTGGTGATGATTGATGGGATGGGAGGAGGGGAGAGTGTGGATGGTGTTAGCATTTAGAAGGGGAATCCCCCTCCATTAGGACTTGAGGTAGCAAGTCCTTTTCTGGGGTTACTTCCCTTCTTCTTTTAATGCCACTAGGACCAGGTTGAGAGTCACTGGACCTCTGTCGCACAACATATCTGTCCATAGAGGCCTGTACCTCTCGTTCCTTTATGACTTTCCTAAAGTGGTTCACAACATTGTCAGTGTAATAGTCACCAGCACGGCTTGCAATAGCTGTCTGAGGGTGATTTTCATCCATGAAGGTTTGCACTTCAAGCCACTTTGCACAGATTTCCTTAATCTTTGAAGTAGGCAACTTCTTCAGTTTCTCTCTCCCCTCCTCCGAAGCAATTTCCTCAGGTGTGGCCTCTTGCTGGTGAAGTTGATCTAGCAGCTCATCAGTGGTTAGTTCTTCATTGTCCTCCTCCACCAACTCTTCCACATCCTCCCCACTTACCTCCAACCCCAAGGATTTCCCCAATGCCACAATGGATTCCTCAACTGGCATAGGCTTCTCAGGGTTAGCCTCAAACCCTTCGAAATCCCTTTTGTCTACACATTCTGGCCACAGTCTTTTCCAGGCAGAGTTCAAGGTCCTCTTAGTCACTCCCTCCCAAGCCTTACCTATAAGTTTTACACAATTGAGGATAGTAAAGTGATCCTTCCAAAACTCCTTTAGAGTCAATTGAGTTTCTGTGGTCACTTCAAAGCACCTTTCAAACATAGCTTTTGTGTACAGTTTCTTGAAGTTGGAAATGACCTGCTGGTCCATGGGCTGCAGGAGAGGAGTGGTATTAGGAGGCAAAAACTTGACCTTAATGAAACTCATGTCCCCACAAAGTCGCTCTGACAAATCTGTAGGATGACCAGGGGCATTGTCTAATACCAGGAGGCACTTAAGGTCTAATTCCTTTTCAATTAGGTAATTTTTCACACTGGGGGCAAATGCATGGTGTAACCAGTCATAGAAAAAGTCCCTAGTGACCCATGCCTTATTGTTTGCCCTCCACAGCACACACAAATTAGCCTTGAGGACATTCTTTTGCCTGAACGCTCTGGGAGTTTGAGTGATACACCAATAAAGGCTTCACTTTGCAATCACCACTAGCATTGGAACACATCAACAGAGTAAGCCTGTCTTTCACAGGCTTATGTCCTGGGAGTACCTTTTCCTCCTGAGTAATGTAGGTCCTGCTTGGTAATTTCTTCCAAAACAGGCCTGTTTCGTCACAGTTAAACACTTGTTCAGGTTTCAATCCTTCAGCCTCTATGTACTCCTTGAATTCATGCACATATTTTTCAGCCGCTTTGTGGTCTGAACTGGCAGCCTCACCATGCCTAATCACACTATGTATTCCACTACGATTCTTAAATCTTTCAAACCAACCTTTGCTGGCCTTAAATTCACTCACATCACCACTAGTTGCAGGCAATTTTTTTACCAAATCGTCATGCAACTGCCTAGCCTTTTCACAAATGATTGCTTGAGAGATGCTGTCTGTTTTTCATTTATCCACACAATAACAGTCTCTCAACATTTTCTAACACTTGCGGTCGCTGTTTCGTAATCACAGTTGCACCTTTTGCAAGAACAGCTTCCTTGATTGCCGTTTTCTTGCTCGCTATAGTAGTGATGGTTGATTGGGGTTTACTATACAACCTGACCAGCTCCGACACACGCACTCCACTTTTGTACTTTGCAATTATCTCTTTCTTCATTTCAACAGTCATTAGCACCCTTGGTCTCGAAGGGTTGGCACTGGGAGCTTTCTTGGGGCCCATGGTGACTTATTTTGCAAAAACAGGCACCAAAAACAGTGATAATATGGATAATATGGAATGTACCGAATGTATCCTTAGATGTGCGCACACTGGCTGGCTTGTAAACACTGGCACACACAGGGCAGTTCAGGCCACACATGAACACATCTCGTATGAACCACATCGCATACTGGGTTTTGTATCGGGAAGCGAGGCAAATTTTCTGCGATATAATGCATCGGTTACCGGATTTATCGGATACCGATAGCATCGCGAACCGGGGATCCACTGTAGTAGTACGTCATTGATGTCAGCTAGGCATGTATACCATGTACATGTACTTGTAGTAAATAAAGATATCATTATTATAATAATTATTATTAATTTAGGGACCTGAAGGTCTATCGTTATAATAATAATATTATTTAAATTATTATTATTATTAATTTAGGAAACTGATGCTCTATCATTATAATAATAATTTATAAGTAGTAGTAGTATATTATTATTATTTTTATTATTATGATTATTATTGTTGTTATTAATTTAGGAAACTGAAGTTCTATCATTATTTATTTTTTTTATTATCACTGGCCGATTCCCACCAAGGCAGGGTGGCCCGAAAAGGAAAAACTTTCACCATCATTCACTCCATCACTGTCTTGCCAGATGGGTGCTTTACACTTCAGTTTTTAAACTGCAACATTAACACCCCTCCTTCAGAGTGCAGGCACAGTACTTCCCATCTCCAGGACTCAAGTCCGGCCTGCCGGTTTCCCTGAACCCCTTCATAAATGTTACTTTGCTCACACTCCAACAGCACGTCAAGTATTAAAAACCATTTGTCTCCATTCACTCCTATCAAACACGCTCACGCATGCCTGCTGGAAGTCCAAGCCCCTCTAACCTTTCCTAGGCCGACCCCTACCCCGCCTTCGTTTCACTACAGACTGATACACTCTTGAAGTCACTCTGTTTCGCTCCATTCTCTCTACATGTCCGAACCACCTCAACAACCCTTCCTCAGCCCTCTGGACAACAGTTTTGGTAATCCCGCACCTCCTCCTAACTTCCCTGCTCTATCGTTATTATTATTATTAATTTAGGGAACTGAAGCTCTATCGTTATTATAATAATACAGTAGACTGCCATTGAAGAATTGCTGCACAATTTTATGTAACACGTTGTATAATTAATTTAACATGGTTCAGTTTGTGGGAAGGAAGAAAAAATTCTCTTGCTCAAGCAGCCACCAGGCTGCTTGACCTAAGAAAAGCTTTTGGCACAGTAGACCACGGCATCCTACTCCACAAATTTGACCATTATGGTATAAGAGGCCATGCGCTTGCATATTTCAAATCTTACCTTACTAATAGGTATCAATATGTCACCATTAAAGACACAGCATCAACAACACAGCCACTTGATACTGGAGTTCTGCAGGGAAGTGTCCTTGGTCCCCTGCTCTCCTCATATACATCAATGATCTTCCAAACATATCCCAACACCTGAACCCCATTCTCTTTGCTGACAACACAGCTTATGTCATCTCTCACCCTAATCTTGCCACCCTCAACACCATTGTTAACGAGGAGCTGATCAAAACATCGACTTGGATGACAGCCAATAAACTTACGCTTAACACTGACAAAACCTACTGTATTATGTTTGGTAGCAGAGCAGGAGTTGCACAAATTAACATTAAGATCAACAACACTCTAATTGCCAGACATAATGAGGGCAAATTTCTAGGCCTATACCTCGACGACAACCTGAATTTCAGCACCCATATCCAACACAACCAAAAAAGTATCCAAAACAGTTGGGATCCTCTGCTGCAAAATGCCCTTCTCTCACTATACCACTCACTTATTTATCCATACCTCACCTATGCTATTTGTGCTTGGGGATCAACTGCAGCAACACACCTAAAGCCAATAATAACCCAACAAAAAGCTGCAGTAAGAATAATCACTAAATCCCATCCCTGGCAACACACCCCCCCACTCTTCATAGATCTAAACTTACTCTCTGTTCAGTACATCCACACTTACTACTGTGCAATCTACATCTACAGGACCTTAAATTCCAATATTAACCTTGACCTAAAATGCTTTCTTGATAGTTGTGACAGAACCCACAGGCATAACACCAGACACAAACATCTCTATGACATTCCCCGTGTCCGACTAAACCTTTACAAAAATTCAGTGTATGTCAAAGGCCCCTAAAATCTGGAACACCCTACCTGAAAACTCTAGAACTGCAGACACATTCATCACCTTCAAAACTACCATTTGAAAACATCTTATCTCCCTGATACACCCCATCAACTAATTACACGAATACCACCTGATGGTTCACACTTACACTCACTCACCCATTTGACAATAAACAGAAATATCAATCTCAATCTTAAAATAATGAATCCTAACTAGTCATAAGTTGGCCTGTGATACTCCAATACTGAAACTATGTACTGTGCCAAAACAAAAGCATTCACATTGCTAAACTCACAAACCAGTATTTAGTCACTTAGCCATAATACCAACTTACCTCATAATTTGTAATATTTTAAATTTAAGAATTAATCTAAGTCTGCCCGAAATGCCTAGCCATGCTAGGTGTTCTAGTGGTACCCTCTGTAATTAGTATTTTACTACATGTAAACCACACAATAACCAAATTCTGTAAACTCATCATTGTAATCCTTATAGAGAATAAACTTTGAATTTGAATTGAATTGAATTGTTGTAGAGCAGCCAGGGAGCCCTCCCCGACCACTTCCGGACACCACCCCACCATCCCAGCATTCCTAACTCATACGTGTTCTGTCTTTCTCTGCTACAAGGCAGCCGTGTTTGTCAATTGTGTTATGATATTTTAATTACTATATCTTGGAGTGTGAGCAGGGTAATATTTAGTGAAGGGATTCAGGGAAACCGGTTATTTTCATATAGTCGGACTTGAGTCCTGGAAATGGGAGGTACAATGCCTGCACTTTAAAGGAGGGGTTTGGGATATTGGCAGTTTGGAGGGATATGTTGTGTATCTTTATATGTATATGCTTCTAAACTGTTGTGTTCTGAGCACCTCTGCAAAAGCAGTGATAATGTGTGAGTGTGGTGAAAGTGTTGAATGATGATGAAAGTATTTTCTTTTTGGGGATTTTCTTTCTTTTTTGGGTCACCCTGCCTCGGTGGGAGACGACCGACTTGTTGAAAAAAAAAAAAAAAAAAATCTTGTATCTGCCAAGCAATCATGACACCCAGTAGCCATACTAGTGTTGCTGAAAGTGGCATGAAGAGATATAAGCATTAAGTCTTAGAATTAACAAAGATATTAAACAAGAGATAACCTGTAGCCGTAACTGAAGTGTTACTTTTTACACAGAAAAAGAGGTTTGTGTGACTGACTGACTGACTGACTGACTGACTGACTGACTTACTGAATGACTTCGACTGACTTACTGAGTGACATGACTGACTTATTGAATGACTTGACTGATTTACTGAGTGACATGATTTACTGAATGACTTGACTGACTTACTGAGTGACTTGACTGACTTATTGAGTGACCTGACTTACTGAATGACTTGACTAATAATATTATATTATTATTATTATTATTATATTTCTGAGAAGAAAAAGAGAATGATTTCCATGGAATTAAAGTATGAAATCATAGATAAACAAGCGAGGTGTCCAGGTTTTGGGTTGAGGGGAAAGAGGGAGGAGGGAGCTGGCTTGTAACTCAATGTTGGCTTGTAACCCAGAGCAAAAAAATCGACCCTGGGATGGCTCGTATCTCAAAAAAACTCGTAAGTTGGGACACTCATAAGTCAAGGTTCCACTATTTATTTCTAAAGCTCTTTACTTATTCATCAAATGTCTGTGTACAGTTTAACCCTTAAACTGTCCAAAGGTAGATCTACGTTCACGTGCATAGCGCTCCAACCTTATTTTTCCCATTTGAAAGCATGTAAAAAAAATGTAGATCTACGTTCGGAGCCCCCCACACATGGACGTAGATCTGCGTTTAGACAGTTTAAGGATTAATGTAAAATGTTAGGTGATCTGTGGCCTTTGTAAATGATTGCCTTTAATTTTATGATTTATTCCAGGCATTACAAGAATTTGAAGAGTTGTGCCAAAATGAAGATCAAGAAGCTATTTTATCTGCTCTGCCATTTTGGCCACGTTTGTATACTAAATTATCAGTAGATGTAGAGAGGAGGGTAAGTATCTTGCCAAGTACTCTTGTACCTGTGTGACATGCATAGTTTAATTGTGACAACTGGTGATATAGTGTTGGAGTGGTTAGTAATATCTCTACAAGTACATGTATAAGGTATACAGTCCTAGCTGGCATCAGTGGCATACTACTGTATAGAAAGCCACTTGTTATGTAGAGCATTTCTGGCAAATTAGGTCAATTTGTCTCAGGATGTGACCCACACCAGTTGACTAACACCCAGGTACCCATTTTATACTGATGGGTGAACATGAACAGCAGGTGTCTTATGGAAACATGTCCTGATGTTTTCCAGCTGTACTGAGGATTTGAACTCTGGACCTCAGTGTATGAGCTGAGTGCACCAGCAATCAAGCTATGGGACACCCTGGTTGGTTGGTATTGTTGTTCAATAAATGTATGAAAGAGGGGAAGGTTCCTAGGAATTGGCAGTGTGTGTACAATTCCTTTATATAAAGGGAAAGGGGAAAAAAGAGATCGTAAAAATTATAGAGGAATAAGTTTACTGAGTATACTAGGTAAAGTGTATGGTAGGGTTATTATTGAAATAATTAGAGGTAAGACAGAGAACAGGATTGCAGATAAACAAGGAGGCTTTAGAATGGGTAGGGAATGTGTAGACCGTGTTTACATTGAAACATGTATGTGAACAGTAATTAGATAAAGGTGGGGAAGTTTTCATTGCATTTATGGATTTAGAAAAGGCATATGATAGGGTGGATAGGGGAGCAATGTGGCAGATGTTGCAAATGTTTGGAATAGGTAGGAAGTTACTAAATGTTGTAAAGAGTTTTTATATGGATAGTGAGACTCAAGTTAGGGTGTGTAGGGGAGAGGAAGATTACTTCCCTTTAAAAGTAGGTCTTAGACAGGGATATGTAATGTCACCATGGTTATTTAACTTACTTATAGATAGGGTTGTAAAAGAAATAAATGCTAGGGTGTTGGGGAGAGGGGTGGGATTAAATTATGGGGAATCAAATACAAAATGGGAGTTGAGACAGTCACTTTTTGCTGATGATACTGTGCTCTTGGTAGATTCTAAAGAAAAGTTGCAAAGGCTAGTGGACGAGTTTAGGAGGGTGTGTAAAGGTAGAAATTTGAAAGTAAACACAGATAAGAATAAGGTTACCTGGAGGTTACCTGGAGGTTGAGGGTATCAAAAGATTTAGATAAAGAAAAATTGGATATCACATTGGAGGGAGGAATTATGGAAGAAGTGAATGTGTTCAGATATTTGGGAGTAGACTTGTCAGCAAATGGGTCTATGGAGGATGAGGTTAATCATAGAATTAATGAAGGGAAAAAGGTGAGCTAGTAGTACTTTGAGGTATCTGTGGAGATGAAAAACATTATCCATGGAGGCAATGTTTGAGAGTATAGTGGTACCAACACTCTTATATGGGTGAGAAGCATGGGTTGTAAATGCTGCAGCAAGGAGGAGGCTGGAGGCAGTGGAGATGTCATGTCTAAGGGCACTGTGTGGTGTAAATATTATGCAGATAATTCATAGTGTGGAAATTAGTAGGTGTGGAGTTACTAAAAGTATTAGTCAGAGGGTTGAAAACAGGTTGTTGAGGTGGTTTGGTCATTTAAAAGAGGATGGAACAAAGTAGAATGACTTGAAAAGTTTTAAAAATTTTTAAAGGAAAGGAAGGCGAGGTAGGGGTTGTCCTGGGAAAAGGGTTTGGAGGGGGGGGTAAAAAAAGGTCTTGTGGGCGAGGTGCTTGGACTTCCAGCGCTACGTGAAACGTCTAAAAAGGAGTAAAATGGAGACATTATTTTTTTTGGGACCTGACAAAACTGTGGGAAGGGTGGGGCAGGGTAATTTTTTGGGGAAGGGTTTCCAGGGAAACCAGTTAAGGGGATTTTTAGTCCTGGAAGGGGGAAAGTACAATGCCTGCACTTTAAAGGGGGGGGGTTTGGGATTATGTATGAATGAGGGTAAAATTTTAATTTTGTTTCCTTTATTGACAACGTTTCCCCCACACAGGGGCTTTTTCAAGTCACAAACAGATCTCCCCGGGGGGTGGAAAGGGTTTATGTGAAATTTATAGTCAGGTTCAAAATTTGGTTGGGGCCAGGGGGAGAATGCTACTTTCTGATATCTATTGGGTGGGGTTTAAGAGTCAAAAATTTTGGGTAGTTTTGGCGGGGGTATTGGACAAGTTGGGGCAGCCCTGCAGTGTTCTATGTTCTTATTGGGGGGAAAAGCGATGAAGAAGTTTTTTTGGGCAAGTGATTCAGCTAGTTTATAAAAAGCCATTTTCGGGTTGAAATTTTTTGGTTATAGAGAAAAAGGCAAGTTTCCCGGGAATTTCTTTGGTATTGAGTGTTGCCCTTCTGTGGGGATAAGTCTTGATTTTCTGATTTAAATTTAAAAGGGTTGTGTAAATTTGGCGATTTTTGTACACAAAGGCTTTCCCTTGTTTTCGTCAGCCCTGCATGAAATTTTGGGGTTCTAAAAATACGGGGTTTGGGGGTTTTCTTGATTTTTTGGGGCCCCACGAAATAATTTTTTGGGCAGCATTAAAAAGGGATTTTTATACCCCTGCAGGGATAAAAACTTGTCCTGCAAACTACTGGCGATGTCCTTGAGGGTTTTGGGGGTTTGTGGGGGTTTAAATACGGGGAATATGATTGGAAAAGATTTTTTGGAAACATTTTTGGAAATTTGGATTGGTGGGGGGGACTATGTATCTTTCTGGGCGGGGGTCTTCTCGGGGTGTGTTGTAGATTTTTTAATGCCCGCCGTCTGCGGGTCTCTGAGGAAGTGACAAGGATAGTGGATTTTTAAAAATACGTTGTCAATAAAGGATCACTTTAAAACTGCATATGTGTTTGTTTCCATTTTTGTCGGAAATTTTAAAAACCATTTATTTTCATAGTGTAAAAACCTGCAGTAAAATGGACCCCCTTCACACAGGAATACCTGGACCCTCCTTTTTAAAAGCTTACCTTCTCTTCGAAAAACAGACACATTTTTCCCTTTCCCTTCGTGACTGTATCCAAGAAATGGTTTTAAACCAAGATTTTCCCAAACTCCTCAAATTCCCAAACGAAAAACCTCCTTTTTTTCCCCCCCGGGACAGCTGGGACCAAACCTTTGAAAGTGGGCAGATGACTTAAACAATGTCAAAGGAAGCTTTTCCCCCCAAGCCAGAACACACCACAGTACTTCGGGGCCAACCCATGAACAGACGCACCCCCCAAAATCTTTTCGCACAGATTTAAACCACGAGCGAATGTTCAACAGAAGATCAGACTTGCTAGAAAAACTCAAACTCTCTTGGGGATAATAGTCATTGGAAAAGTTTTGGAAGAAACCCGACATTATTCAAAATTTTTTATCCCCGTCCCCCTGTCCCAAACCCCAAAACCGAAGGGCCCCCAGTTATGGGCCCCAAAATTTGCAACAGGAATTACGAAACCAAAACAAGACCTCAATTTTCTTCTTTCCCAAAAAATACAGGACACAGTTTACTCCGACTTCCAAAAAGGGTTTTCTTCAAAAAGGGATCAACTCAGCAGCCATCTCTACACCAGCTCCCCGTCATACCTCGACGTTTCATCATTGCACTTTAAAAATTTTTGCAGAAAAACACCCATCAGGGGGAACCCCACTGCTGATAAAAAGGTGGTGGTTTTATCATGAAAACTGACAACACAGAACAAAAAAGCTCAATCTATTTAATGACCCAGAAAACCCACAAAACCCCCCACAACTAACCAAATGGACAAAACCTTTTCTAAAACTTTCTTTAAAGGACTCCCGCCCTTCTGAGGAACTCTGAACAAGGGAAGAAATTCTGCACACCATACCACCCCGCAAAACCCCAGACCGGGGAGAATGGGACAACCTACCAAAAACCCCAAAAACCTGGTATCCCATTAGGCCCCTATCTTCGGGGAAAAGGCAGTGCCCCCACCAACTTTTCCCGGAATTCCCGCAAAAAAACCCCCCTCCAAAAATTTTTGGGGACTATCAGTCCAGCACATCTCAAAAACTCGGGTGATCTTCTCAAACGAATTCACAACAAACAACATCAGGAACAAGAAACTTTCCCCGCCTTGACGTAACTTCCCTATTCAAAAAAGTACCCTAAATACACAAACCATTTGGGTCTCCTGCACAAAAAATTTACGATTCACTTGATCTTCCTATTCCAGCCAGCGATTTTTTAAACGACCTTGTTGAACTATGTTTCATCTTTAAAGGGTTTCTCTTTTGAAAATCAAACCTCTTTCCAAAAGATTTTTGGGCTACCCATGGGCTTGCCACTCAGTGCCGCCTGGCGAACTTTTACATGGAACCCTCCGGGAAACCGAAACGTTTCTCCACCATTAAATTCCCTTCGACGGCCACCTGGCTCCGTTATATTGACGACATTCTCCTCATAACTCCCCGGCGCTTCAACGTTCAACCTCTCCAAGACAAGCTCAACCAGGTCGAGCCTCAATCCAGTTCACACTTGAAGAAGAAGTCGACAACATTTTCCCTTTTCCTTGATGTTCTTCTCTGCAAAACTGACTATGAACTTCTTTTTTAAAGGGTCTATCGAAAACCAACCAAAACCAAAACGATCTTCTCCATTTTCTACTCTCACCACGCCCACCAAAACTAAACGTGGTGTAATTATAGGCTTCTTCCTGGGGCACACTCAGAATCTGCAGCAATGAGTTCCTTGAGGAGCAATGCACTATAATTGAACAAGTATTTTCTAAAACTCCACTATCCTCGTCACTTCATCAGAGCTGCAGACGGCAAGGCATTAAACATCTTCAACACACCCAAAGAAGACACTGCCGAGAAGAGATACATAGTCCTCCCCACCAACTCCATTGCCAAACATGTTTCCAACATCTTTTCCAATACATCATTCCAAGTATCTACCTCCACAACCACGACCATCAAGGACATCACCAGTAGTGACAGGACAAGCTTCCATCCTCTGCAGGGGTATACATAATCCCTTGTAATGACTGCAACAAATTATACGTGGGCGAAAAAACAAGAGACCTCCAAACACGTATTTTCAGAACACCAATACGCAAGCAGGACTGACGATACAAGGAAGCCTGTGTACAACATCGCAATTCACAAAAACCATTTAATTAACTACAGAAACTCAAAGACTTATCGCCACAGAAGACAACACTCAATACCGAAGAATCCTGGAATCATCGCTTATCTCTATAACCAACAATTTCAACCAGAACAATGGCTTCTATAACATAGCTGAACCACTTGCCAAGAAACTACTTCATCGCTATCCCACATAATAACATAGAACACTGCAGAAGGTCTGCTCACAACTTGTCCAATACCCCTGCCAAGCTACCCAAGATTTTAGACTCTATAACCCCACCCAGTAGATCATCAGATGCAGCATTCTCCACCTGACCTCAACATTCTGAACCTGACTATAAATACTCACATACCTTCCACCCCAGGTAGATCTGTTTGTGACTTGAAAAAGCTCACTGTGTGGGCGAAACGTTGTCAATAAAGGATCACATTAAACTGCATATGTGTTTGTTTCCATTGTGTCGGTATTTTATACCATTTATTTTCATGGTGAAAGTGTTGAATGAAGATGTAAGTTTTTTCTTTCTTTTTGTCTTTTTTTCTTTTTGGGTCACCCTGCCTCAGTGGGAAAAAGACGATGTGTTAAAAAAAAAGTATTTTACTAGTTGATCCACTTTGCAGTAGGAATATTGCATTTCTTTTTGTGGTGATACTTTACTGGGCCACTTGTATCAAAGTGCTTTAGTAAGCAGTGTTATTTTTTAAAATACTGGTAAGCAGTGATTCAGTTCAATAACCAGTATTTCCTAAGCCTTTCATCATATTTTAGGTTCGAGAAGCAACACAAGTTGCCAATGGTGCACTGGTGGCTCAAGTAGGGAAACAGTTGGCTCCTCATCTTTAAATCCATGATGCCATTTGGATATAGCTATGGTTAACT